TACATTATTAAAGAAAGCATTAATCGAACCAACTTCATTATCAAACGAAAAGGTGAAACCTTGTTTGTACAATGCATGAAAGGAAATAATATTTCTTGCCATTTCTGGCGAATAACAACATTTATTCAAATCTAAATTTAACCCACTACTTAGCGATAAAGTATAAACTCCAATCTTGGTGACAGGTGTAACTTTCCTATTCCCCATGATTAAGTTTATTCTTCCTTGCTCCACATTCTCACTTCTTCCTAGTCCCTGCAAGTCACAACAAATATGAATACCGCAACCTGTATCAAGGACCCAAGATTTCGAATGGGGTGAGTTATTAGAAATGATAGTGTAAATACCTGCATGGTTGGGTTTGACTTTCCCATCCTTTACATCTTGCTGGTACTTTGGGCAGTTCCGCTTCCAATGAGCTTTTTCGTGGCAATAGAAGCATTCAGCCTCTTTTGGGTCAGAAGAAGGAGTAATGAAACCTTTCTTGGTTCCACTTGAAGAAGAGCCATCAAGGGTCCGAGCCTTGGTACCCTTTGAAGATCTCTTTCTCTTCCTCCCTCGACTCTGCCCGATTGCCAAGACCGGAGTTGTTTCTGGAGTAGGAGTGATAGCAACCGACTTCCCCTTAAGACCTGTTTCTGCGGTCTTGAGAAGTCCCTGAAGTTTGCTGAGGGTGACCTCTTCCTTGTTCATGTGATATGTCATGCGGAATTGATCATAGCACGATGGTAAGGAGTGCAAAATGATATCTATTGCAAGCTCCTCAGGGAAGTTCACATTGAGCTTCAGCAACCGATCCACATACCTTTGCATTTTCTGCATGTGGCTCGTGACGGACTCTCCGTCCTTCATCATGGTTGTTATCATGGAGCAGATGACTTCGTACCTCTCTTGTCGTGCACTTTGATGGTATCTTTCCATCAAATCTTGGTGCATTTCATAAGGGTAGAAGTCTTCATAAGACTTTTGGAGTTCAGCTGTCATGGTGGCTAACATGATGCAAGCCACCTTGGTTGCATCTCTTTCATGAGTATGAAAGTCAGCGATCTCCTGGGGAGTTGCAGTGGACTCGTCAATTTCCTTAAGCTCCTTGTCAAGGACATATTCTTTGTCCTCGTAGCGGGTAATCATCCTGATGTTTCTGATCCACTTATTGAAGTTGGATCCATCAAAGGTGACTTTCCCACATAGACTCATAAGAGTAAAGGAGCCATTAGGATTCGAGCCAGAAGCATTGTTTGAAGACATCTGAAAAGAAGAACAAGTTTAGTTTAGATTTAAGAGAGTCCTTAATAAAACACCCAAATGTAATATTAAGGCTAGGATCCAATCACAATATAATATAACTTAGAAGAGGTATGCCGTAATCTAAGCTATACCATATTTGAAAGGTAGGTGAATGACGATTCACCAATTTCCACCACGAAAACCGAAATATTAAATATTTAGTTTTTATTGGTTTTAGAAATTCCTAGATTCTTTGAGATCCAATGAACTTTTCAAAGGCATGTTTCGATCTCGGGAGTGCCCTCCAGGTTTTGTGACTGGGATGCCGAGGATCACAAAACGAGGTGTGAAGTAACCATGCAAATCACTTGGTACCCTTAAAGTTTATCACTCAATCGATGTGCCGGTAAACCACACACGCTCCACCGATACTATAATAAACCTTAAGTCACCCTTTACCTACCTTGTTAAGTCCAAGTTAGTGTGCCGGTTAACCACACACGCTCCACCAACGACTCAGACAAAGTGTAAAGTGTAATTTCATGGATTAGCACCTTATTCACATTTTTCCTAAAGTAACTAAGATTGGGAATTTAATAAACATTTAGTTACTTTATTATATTCATCATACTTTGAATGAGAATTTATAAGTCCTTGTCTTACCCGTTCGGCTAACGACCCTCCACCAGTCAAGCAAGCGGTGGGTGAGAATATACACCCATTAAGTCACCATTTTATAGGCAACAACCTTATACCCACCTTATAGACCGGCTTCGTGAATGAGGCGTACTAGCGGTAAGACGACTTTATTCTTATACATATATATAATTATTAAATTATCATAATATAAGTATAAGGGTTGAATTTTAACTTTTAAAATTCTAGGGGTTGGAACTAAAGTTTTAACTTAACTTTACTTGTTCCAAAACTTGAGGGCAAGTTTTGTAACTTTCAAAACTTTTCATTTCTTGTAACTTATGAGTTTAATAGAGTCATAAAATGAAGACTCTTCATTTTTATAACTCTTGTGTTTTCTTAATGGTTTTTAACTCAAGTGACTCTTGGTTTTCCATAACTTAAGGATAAGTTATGGACTCCATTAAAACACATTATGATCAAGAATTAAACTACCAAATAGGTTACAAATAATTCCTATGATCATCTAAAACATCATAAGAACAAAAACATGAATATGAACATAATCAAAAATTACATAAAACTTTGTAATTTTGATAACTAGTTGTTGTAAATGAATTAGCAAAACATTACACCACCAAAAACAAGTTTATATTTAATAAAACAGTTTAGGGTAATGTTTCTAATTCATTTTCCAGCAACTGAATCGAAATTCTGCACTCATTCGACCCTACTCGCCGAGTGCAAGAACATGACTCGCCGAGTTGGTTGAAGATACACATGGACTCGGCGAGTCCCCCCTATAGACTCGACGAGTCCGATCGCAGACAGCAAATTTCCGATTCTGTTTTCAACTTTTAAGCACAAATAAGAACAAACAAACCTGGCTCTGATACCACTGATGGGTTTTGAGCATTCTAACACTTCCTAAGTGTACATGCAACCCTAATAACCTTGGATCTATGTTTGTCTAATTTGTCATGCAAAGTTGAATTCCAAGGTTATATCCTATCTAGCATACATGGGGAACAATTTTAACATAAAGTATAGATAGAATAACTTACCTTGTTGTTGCTTGTGTTCCTTGAAACCTTGTGAGCCTAGCACCTCAAGTGGTGATGCCTCAAATGCTTCACACAACACCAAATGCTCTTGGAAGAACTTATGAGAGAATACACACTCTTCAAAATCGGCCAAGCCCCCTTATTACTTAGTGTAACCGATTTGGGAGGAGAACATATTCCTTATATAGTGTTGACACATCTAGGGTTAAACCCTAATGTGTCATGACTCTTCATTTCCATGACCCATGGGTTTGTAACTCCCATGGAGCATCCATGGAGCATCCTATGGGTGTAACCCAACTTGATGATCCATGGAGCCTTTTAGCCCACTATACAAGATATGGATGATTTACTTAATCAACCCATATATTTAATTAGTTATCTTTTGATCACTTAATTAATTCTAAATTAATTCTTGATCAAACTAATCAAATAATATTATTAATATATTAGAACTTATAATATATTAATAATCTCCAAGCGTTATTTCTCTCATTTAGTTTATCCAATTGCATGGTGTCATGCAACCCAAATGGACCATGCCGGGTCGGGTCAAGTACATACCAGAAATAGTTATGGACTTAGACACCTTATCCAACACAAAGGAACATCATTAAGAGCAGGAGCTTGAGCAACCTCATTTGGAACCTGGTTGTTGACTTCATCCTGAAATTTGGTTGTTGACTTCCTATTTGGCCTTGTTACAGCCAATTTCTTCCTTTTAACATCTGGGATAGTTACTTCACTTGAACGAGTACCCACAGATGCAATGTCATCAACTCTAAAACTTGGGCCTCTTAAAACTAATTTCCTTATTTTCTTGCCAGTGATAGAACTTGAAGCATGCAGACTGCCCTGTTAACTTGCTTGTTGACTAGGTTGAGTGGTTACAGTTGATGTCACAAGTGGTTGACTGCCCTGTTGACTTGCTTGTTGACTAGATTGAGTGGGTACATAAACATGTGGATTAGATCCAGTTACAACACATTTCCTAGGCCTCCCAATCTTCTTTGGTGGCATAGGAAGTGGTACCTTTTTTTCATTCTTGCAACCTTTTTTATTATGCCCATACTCAAGACAATTAGCACATCTTACTATCCTTGGGGGTTTCACCCTTGAAGTGGAACTAAACTTACTCTCTTTCTCACTTGCATGCCTCCTTCTTTTGGTTCTGGGCCTACCAGGCATTTTCTTACCAACAGGTGGAAAAGGATTGTTGTATCCAGTTAGAGGCCACATATTACTCCCATTCACAGGACTGATGTTTGTTGAGTAGCATTCCTTGAATTTATTCACTGAAAAGTAGTCACTAATATATCCATCTGGATTTTGATGGATATAATTAATGGCTTCTATGGCATGGACACAAGGGATTCCAGACAAATCCCATAATCTGCAAGAACAAACCCTACCATCCAAATCTACCTTGTAACTAGCACATGCTCTTCTCACTTCACATACATTTCCTAAGCTATGCACTATTAACCAAAGCCTGCATGAAGACAAAAGAGTATGTATTAGTCATTATATATCAACTATAATGACAGTTAGAAAAAGAAACAATTATTTTGTGTCTTACCTAAAGTTCTTTCCAAAAAGATTCATCTTCTTAATCACCTCTGGACATATATTACCTTTCCATTTACTGCATTCATCATTCATAAAGGAAAACCTGTCCATTATGTATATCCTTATCTCTTCAAGCATTGTAATCAAAGGTTTTTTCCTATCTTCTACAATTATGGAGTTGAAACACTCTGAAATACCATTCTCCATTGCCTCACAAGCAAACCCTACACTCATGTAAGCTCTGCACCATGTTTTGGGTTCTTTTGACATTAGATACTCATATACACTAGGTCTTATGGTCTTTATTTTTTCCATGTATCTCAAGAAGTTACCTTCAACACAACTCATTGCACAAGCCCAAAACAACTTCTTCAACTCCAATCCAGAGAAAGCTTTATTAAAATTTTCATAAATGTGTCTAGCACATTGCCTATGCTCCACATGTGGAAAAATAACCTTAACAGATTCAAGCAAACTCTTTGAACAAACATATTATCTTAGTATTTATAACCATATTGAAATAATCAAATTGAAATATACTATAATTATAAGGGAACTTACTTTATGTTGATCAGAATTAACAACCAAATCTACACCAGTACCAAGGTCAATATCACCCTTCATAAGCTCCAGAAACCATGTCCAATTATCCTTGTTTTCCACATCAACAACAACCCAAGCTATTGGGAACACCTGGTTATTAGCATCTCTACCTATGGCTATGAGTAATTCACCTTTTACCTGACCCTTTAGGAAGCATCCATCCAACCCTATTACCTTCCTACACCTTATTTTCCAGCAAACACTTAAAGATTTGAAACATATGTAAAACCTTTTAAAATAATTCTTATCATCTGGATTGTTAGTAACACCAACTTTGCATGTAGACCCAAAGTTTGATATCAATAACTCTTGGGCATAATCCCAAATTCTTGCATAGTGTTCATTTAATTTACCCCCAATCAGTTCTTTTGCCCACTGTTTTGCCCTTCTAACCTGTCCCATAGATACCACACATCTATATCTTTGTTTGATGTCACTGATCATCTCCCTAAGTTTAACTTTGGGCTTATTTGCTATCTCAGTAACATAGTGTCTTCCAATTCATTCCGGGGTCACAATAGACCCAAATTTAAACACTCTAGAACAAAGATGCTCATAATTCATTGCTTTAACCTGAAAGGTTCTGTCATTGTACATCCGTGTTGCATAAAGTCTAAAAGGGCATTTATTATCTTCATGTCTCTCACCACATCTTGCAACAATTCTTCTATTGTCACTCTTTTGAAAGTATATTTGGTACCCTCCATTTACTACATAATTTGTCACACAAAATTTCAGTTGTGCAGGTGATTCGAACACGTCCCCTAACTTAGGTTCCATCTTATCCCACCTAACATTTGGATCATGTATTCTGTATTTGTTAGTCACTTCTTCCTCTGCCTCTTCATCATTTTTCAAATCATTATAATGGTCTACTTGATCTTTCACCTCATCAGTCATACGTGCATTTCTAATGTTCGCATCACAAAGTAGAATGTTAAGAAAATGATCCTTACATTTATCAAGCCTTGATACAAACTCATGTCGTGGTTCATGATCCATGTAAATCCCGTGCAGCTCAAAATCCATCTCATTTAACCCAGAAAATGGCTCGTAAATTCCAGCAAATGGGTCGTCGTAACCATCGTCTAAAGAACCCATTTCTATCCCCTGCACAATCGCAACCATTATCATGAAAAGTAAGCAATTTAATGGAGATGATTTCTCGTAAAAACCATGATCATACCGTAATTTCTTACCTCTAAAAAAACCCTAGCTTCAGATAATGAGAATGCTTCACCAAATGGAGTTTAACGTTTGAGTTCCTATTACCTATGTCTGAAGAAGTACTAGCATGGGAGGGCGGTAGGTGTCTCAATGTTGATAGAGTGTTAACAGAGGAGAAACGGAGGAGACGGGCTTAACAATGTTACCGATTGCAAATGGGGATGTAACCGATTAGTTAAAGGGAATCGGTTAAAAACATTAAATGAAACATGATGGGCAAATGTTGGTCATCTGGGGAAAAAAAATCGATTTTGGGCATAACCGGTTTTTTATGTAAATATGGGGGCTTTTATGACAAAAACCCGAAAAAAACAGTTAATCAATATCGGCCCACATCTCTCTCTCTCTCTCTCTCTCTCTCCTTAAAGAATTTCATCTTCTTCGTATTCTCCTTACATCCGCAAATCAACACCATAACTCTTCTTCTTCTAGAATCATTACTTATACACTCAGGAGGTTTTTAGGTATAAATATTACAACATCAGGTAGCGGTGATTTTGGGGGTAGTGTTCTTTACGTTTTTGAAGGTGAAACATGTTAATTTAGTTCAGATTGATAGAGAAGATGATGGTTGTTTGAAGTGTTCTTGTTGTGGTATCGATTTAAGGGGAAAAGCTTTTTCGATTCTTCTTACTTCGTCATTAATTCTTCTTGGGATTTTTTTGGGGTTTTCCAAAACTAGAAGTAGGTTAGATTTTTCTTCCCTATGCTACTACAACAAGTCGTGAAAGGGGTGAAAGAAATACAAATGCATATTTGATAGTATCATGTTCATTAAAACTCCATTTCAGATCTTCATCTTGTTCATCAAAACCCAATACATCTCCCCACCCTTCCCTATTCGGTCACCCCTCTCTACAATTTGTTGTAAAAGATTAGACGATGATTAAGAATCACATAAGAATCAAATACATATCCCAATTCTCTAATACCTTCATGACCTACAATTAATCCTAAAATCGATTTCAAATTAAACCCAAAATCGATTCCATGGCTTCTCAGCTAAGCTTTATGCTATAGATGCTTCTAATCTTGAATATGCTTTGGGGTTCTCTCAGTTATTCCTGAACAAGTTTGTCATCTTTATAGCAAAAGCAAATCAAATGAAACCTAGATCAAACAAAACCAAAACATGAAACACAAATCATAAAAACCAGACATGTAACCAAAATTGTAGAAAAAAAATTGCAGAAACCAAAACCTGTAATCGGGTGATGAGTTCAAATCGACACATTCTACTTTACTATTGATGAACTAAGTGAGACGATGAGTTTATCAGAAGGGAAGGGACGATGGTGGACTTTCATGTATGTGTGTATGAATGTGAATGTGTGTGTGAATCGGAAACCTCTTATTTTCCTCCGGTTAATCCGCCCCTCCTTATTTCTTAATTTTTATTTAATGGCTTCAATAGATTTGATTTCCTACATCTTGTTTTTTTTTCTAGATTGTGTTGAAGCTATGTTGTATCGGGTTAGCTTCACCACCATGAGAAGCTGTTGATCCTGATTATCACCCAGATGGCCTCAAAAACTCGTGCTTGCCACCATTGTTGGATCAAATCACCACAAAGCATGTACTTGGAGATGATTTGGAAGCTAAACTAGCTTCAAAACTATTGATTACTCAATCAGAAACTGCTAAGGTCTCGTATGCATTTTAATTACAGAGGACCCCTTCTTATTTTATAAATTATTAAAAAAAAATTAGTATTAGATTTAAAAAGAAATGATAGAAAAATGAAAAACAAATACCATAAGGGTATTATAGTCATTTCAATTTTCGGATGGACTATTTTTACATACAAACTAGTCTAAAATGACCACAAAACCAAAAAATTTATGATTTAAACTAAAACCTTAAAAAAATGCATAACAGAGATACGGTTTTTGCAACTTTATCTAAAATTTAAACTATTATAAGGTAGTTTCTTCTTTCAACAAAATCAATAAGTGGAGTTAAAGAGTAATAGGCCAATACCAAATAAAATATATTATTTAGGCTGATATTGCAGCCCAATTATTAAGAAAGTTAGTCAAGCGGCTCAGCCCATAGCTGGTCTTATCTTATGGAGCGATGCGCCGATGCCCCGCCCACTCCAACTTGGATCGATTGACGCTTTGCCCCCCACGAAAATCTGATTCCGATCACCGTGTTTTCTTTTTGTTCGATTAAATTCGTTCGTTTCCAAATAATTTTGAATAAGAAAACCCCTGTCTGGATCTGGATCTCAATCTTCTGAGAAAAAATAAATCCGATGGAGAATAGGGTTCAAGAGGTTTGTGAATTGTTTCATTTCAATTTGTTATCAATGTTTTGATATGAATTAAATGTTGGTTTCAGATCATCGAGCAGCAAGTGCTGAGTGTTGCGAAAGCTGTAGAGGAGAAGATCGATGATGAAATCGCGGCTTTGGAGAAGTTGGATTTGGACGACATTGAAGTCCTGAGAGAGCGCCGATTGCAACAGATGAAGAAGATGGCGGAGAAGCGGAGCCGTTGGATTTCCCTTGGCCACGGAGAATATTCTGAGATATTCTCCGAGAAGGATTTCTTCTCCATTGTTAAGGCCAGCGATCGTGTTGTTTGCCATTTCTATCGTGAAAATTGGCCTTGCAAGGTAAATGCCCCTTTTTTCACCTCTCATTTGATGGAATTAAGAACAGAAATCGGGAGAAGCTACCGCTTTTATTGATTCAAAGATTGCATACGTAAAAGAAACAGAGACATCCTATTCATAAACTAGAAAAGAGCGTATCTTACTCAAAGTTTAACAATTTAGGGTTCATACTTCATACATCATATGAAAGTGATTTCAGTTTTTCAGCAAACTGCTTAATTAGATTAAAGATTGTTTGAATATATTAACAGGTAGTGGACAAACACTTGGGGATATTGGCAAAACAGCATATCGAGACGCGATTCATCAAGATTCAAGCAGAGAAAAGCCCATTCTTGGCTGAGAAGCTCAAGATTGTTGTTCTTCCAACAATTGCTCTTATAAAGAATGCCAAAGTTGAAGATTATGTGGTACATTATATATCTATCATGTCTCCCTCCTTTCTTTCTTTCTTTCTGGTGTTTTTTTTTTAATATAAAATGAATGATGTATGAATGATATGATAGGTGGGATTTGATGAGCTTGGTGGGAGTGATGATTTTAGCACTGAAGAACTGGAGGAGAGATTGGGGAAAGGTGAAGTTATATTTTTTGAAGGCGAATCATCCTTAAAACCATCAAAAAAGCCTCAAACAAGAAACGTTAGACATGGCTCCAAGTCTAATGATGATTCGGATTCTGAGTAAATGTGCTTTTGGCCTTTTTACCCCTGTCATGGCTGTATCTGTATGGTAGTTTTATTAAAAAAAAAAGGGTAAGCATAGAGATTCAGCTCTTATATATGTTTTGTGTATCATCACTTGTCCTAAAATAGAGTTGATTTTGAATTATGGAATGTCAATGTTAACTTTTTTGCTCTATAATAAACTCAACTGCTAAGCATTCACTTAAATCTCACATGTTCTAGAAAGGGGATGGGGGGTATTTTGGGTATTTATCTTAATTAGTTTGTTGCAACGGTGCTTATAAGAGGGTAGAACATCTATTTTTGGGTAAAAAAACTATGCACTTACCATCCGAATCCGAATTGGTCTTTTTTTTTTCTTATTATAACCTATGATCCCTCCCCTTAAGAGTTGTTAATTACTAGCCTTAATACCACCAAGAAATCCAACTAGTATATAATCATGAAGTAAATCTTATGTAATGCAATTGAAACAAATATATGGCGAAGAAGTTGCAATAGAAGCAACGTAACTATCATTCGAGTATGTTGGTATTATCGGTAACAACTAAGTATCTTGCTATTATCGAATGAAAGTTCATTGATATTATGGGTTAGGAAATGAAATCACATGGCTATTACAGGTAAAGACTAAAGTATATTCATTACCTATATTGGTATTCAATAAGGTCTCAATAATAATCTATCAAGAACTTATGCATACAAAGTGTTAAACTCAACAAAGAAAATTGTGTTTCCATATTGTAAGTATCTAAAAACACATTCCAAAGAAAACAAAATTGTGTTTCCATATTGTAAGTATCTAAAAGCACATTCCAATCCATATTGTAAGTATATAAAAACACATTCCAAAGAGAAATGGGCAAAAGCATAAACAATAAATAGTAAACAATTTATTTATATGTAACATCCCGAAAATTATAGATAGACTTTTTGTTCATTTTAGAAATATATTACCAATATACATTTGTTTCAAAAAGCATTGAGTAACATTTGTTTGATTGAAAATGTACATTGTCACAGTTAATTTACAAAACCGCGAAAACGAATGTTTTCGATGCGTGTGTACAGTCTCGTCAAACTCTTCTCACGAACGACCTACAATACGTTTAATCCATAAGTGTAATATACCACATATTCCACCATACATACAATACATCCACATACAATCCTCGACTCTAGTATCGAGCAACCAAAAATTCTTATCCACATACATATATCATATATAACAGGTTCAACCCATGGGCCCAACCCAAATCACATAATGGGCCTTGCATAAACATACATAACAGGCCCGCTCAAGGAGTAAATAGGCCCAACTCAAACTCCACTGCCAGGAGCTACATCATGGTCTTCCATGATGTCCTGGTATTTTATAAAATTCATAAAGTCATATGTAGTCGGGGATCAGATAGATAGGCGAACATATGATCCACCCCGAGAGCGAACAATCAGACAATAACATCGCAATAAGTCATTAGACCAAGAGTTCTTAGGTTATCTAACATAAACTACATAGAGCCCAAGTTATTATTATTGTATAATCATGCAACCTAAACATGTACATATACTAACATATTACATACCTTTGACAACT